TATATACACTCATTTGTGTTAGGTCTATATACCCACACTAATTAACTTTACTAAAAGTAAGTAAAGCAGACATTATATGCATCTTGATGTGATGCAACAAGAAAATCGGACCAAAACCTAACCAAGCCATTTGATAAGTATGTGAAATGATGCCTTAAGTTTGTGGCCAGTACTTAAAATAACTCAGTACCTTCAATAGATATACAGTATAGAGTTTAAAGAAGAGTGGGAACTAATGTAAATTAAAAGAAACTTGAGACATCAATCAGATGCATTATGAAGAGAATCCTGATTTGTGTACTATTGAAAATTTCCATAATAAAAAGTTTAATAAAAAATAAACTTATAATCTATAAACTGAGCTACTAGCTCTTAGAGAAGGTATAAATAAAGCTAGTGTAGATTATCTTGTTGTAAAAGTTCCCAATTTTATATTTACCTAAAATAAGAACTGTAAAGCCCAATTGCTACATTTGTCAATGATCTCTTCAATTTTTTATTTTTTAAAAATTTATAAAGGGCAAAGGTGGAAGGAAAACAACTGAGAAAATAAGTAAGTTTTCTCTGAAGTGCCCTTCAAATCCATTTTATCATAACAAAAGTATTAGTAGGCAAAAACCTGAAAATCTAATAGAAATATGAGACAAAAGAACATATATAGTAATAGTTATATATAGTTAAATATGTTTTTTTCTATTTTGAAGATATGATGATGAGAGAAACTTTTTACCATAATCTAAAATTTTGGTTCTAAGGACTTTAAAACTTGGTTTTTATGACTGGAAACCTAATTTTATTCAAACATGCATATATATTTTTTAATCAAATTTCTTTTTTAATTTTTAAAATCAAAACCCAGAAATAGAATACACAAATTCTGCCCATCTGTTAGTAAATGTTAATGTCTAAATAAAAGGAGAAAGAAAAGGATTTCCAGCCAACTTATAAAAAAGGAGGGGAAAAATACTGAATTTCAAGAGAGATCAACCAGGAGCTTACATAAATGAGATGTAATAGTTAGAAAAGGATCATAATGTAAAACTGTAGCTCTATTGTGATGCTTACCACAATAAGATGCTTATTTGTTAGTTTGGGCAAATCTTTATAATCTACCAAACTATCAAAGTTAATATGCAAAAAGCAAACTAAAAAAACAGGACATTATATTATATAATCAGATCTAACAATTCTAACAAAGATTAAATTTTAAATGAAACTAAAAACACAAAACAGTCAATAGCAGATGAAAGAAGCATAATTAGGACACTAGTTAAGAGAATATGTTAACTGTTTTCCTCTTAGACAAGAGTAAAATATTAAGTCATTTAATATACAACATAAATTTAGTTTTTTACCACCGACTAGATGAAGCTCAAGAAAGATTAATATCATAGTCTTCCCTTTAAACCAACTCAAAAGACTCTCATGAATATTAGCTACCAAAGTATGCATGAAACACATTGAAAATTTTCATATGCTAAGAGTAATTATGACCTAAAGGATGAAAGGTAAATTAATATATGAACACTGCTGTCAAAAACTTGGTCTACAAAAGTATAATTGATTAATCACATAAAAATAATACGGCATTCTAGACAAAGAATACAAAATGGACATATAAGGAAAAAGAGCCTAACAGAACAGCAAGTTGATGGGTGATTTTCTTTTTTCATCGAATGTTACTATAACATGATTCTTAAAAGATTTTAAATGTCATGTTTAAATAGCATTTTGTTTGTTTGTTTGTTTTATTATTGCAAAGAAGTAAATTCTATTAAATAGGTAAACTAGGTCATATTGAATAAAGAACCCAATGGCGCAGCCCGGAAAAGAGAATTTTCGGGTAGTAAATAGTCTTAGAGATCTTGGGTGCTTTTCTAACATGCTTTTAGAGTCACATGTAGGCCCACCCTGCTAGTTTATGACAGGGTGAGACGGGAACACAGGCCAGGTCTCCCTAAGCCATTGATCTTTCCTCTACCCCAGTGTTGCCTGAACTTCAATAATTTGCATACCACCATCAACATATTTTCCAGTGTATCAAGTGCCTATATCGCTTGTATTTTTCTCAATTCACTTTTTAATAAACACACATAAACCTCTCATCCCATTTCCTCCTCTCCCCTTTTTTAATTTGGTAAAATACACATATAAAATTTACCATTGTAACCATTTCTAAGTTTACAATTCAGTGGCAGAAAGTACATTCACACTGTCGTACAACCATCATCACTCTCCATTTCCAGAACTTTTTCATCATCCCAAAATAGAAACTATGTACCCATTAAACAATAATTCCCCATTCTTCTCTCCCCCCTGCCTCCAGACCCTGGTAACCACCATTCTACTTTGTCTATTCTAGGAACCTCAAAAGTGAAATCATATAATTGTCTTTCTGTGTCTGGCTTATTTCACTTAACATAATGGTTTCAAGATTTATCCCGGGGTGGCTCCATAGTGCACTGGTTAGCACATCTGCTTTACACACATAAGGTCCTGGGTTCGCATCCCAGGTGGAGCCACGTGCCAGGCCCCAAGTGCACCTGGTGAGCATGTGAGAGGAGACACCCCGCCTTCAGAGACCCAGTTCTTAAGAGGAAATGGCAACATCCATAGGTCAGGTGTGGAAGTGGGGCAGGGGAGAGGGAGAAATTAAAGAGGGGGGAAAAAAAGATTCATCTGTGTTCTAGCCCGTGTCAGAATCTCAACTCACTTTTTTAGAAACATTTCATTCACCTTAAAGTATAAAACCTATGAAATCATCAATTTGATATATTAATTATATACTTTCCTAATCAGTATTAACATTTCTAAGTACCATAATTTAAACGTTCACTTGAATAACAATTAAAAACCTCTCCTAAACCACCAGGAAGCACACCTTAGAAAACATTGCTTACCATAATACAGGACTCTACTACAGATCAAAAAAGGCAAGTAGAACATGACTAATTAAAGTATAAAAACAGAAATTCATTAAAGCCATCATTCTTAAACTTTTTTCAATTGAGGTTTTTAAATAGAAAAATCATCACTCTGGGCTTATTATTATTAAAGATTATTCATATATACACACATACATATACACACAAAATGAAACAAAATTCTGTTTTCCTAAAGTCCCACAACTTAAATATTCTAAAATTTGCATTAAAAGCATTACTGGAGTAAAACCTTCACTTAGAAGTTGTGATTTTTGAATACAGTTTAAAGACTACTATAGCTTCATAGTTTTTAACATGAAATTTGAAAATATTTCTCTAATTTTAAAAGCCCAGACACACACATACCCCTTCTAAAATATTATTGTTTACAAATCTGTCCTTAAATCCATTACTTTTATTAC